CACAGTCATCAGCAGCAATGCAGGGGTCTTCAGATGCTCTGGTTAGGAGGCACCTCTGGGGTGGAAGATGAAAATAGGAGTGTTGCTGTCACACCATCAAAAATTGTTTCTTTCCCAGTCACGGAGGATACGAGACTAATATGCAGGTGTTTATGTCCAGTAGTATGTGGCCTTCAAAGAAGCATGCACTTATTTACTTACCAATTTAATAAGTACGCATCCATCATCTCTCACATCTGCGCCAGAAGAATAAAACACAACATAAATATTTCATGGAAAAAATATAACTAATTACATCACCCATGGTGATTTATCCCACATGAAGAGGCCTTCTCACAAGTAATAAGAGTGATCTGGTCCCGCAGCCCTGCATCTGGAGACGAGGTATAAAGAGGCTTCCCTACATACAGGTGTATTTTACATGGGGAAATTGTGAAAGCATTCCACGCTGGAGTACATAAAATGTTTCTGCGTAGGGAGTATTCCAGTTTCCACGAAGCTCCTACAACCGTGTTTGTACGGGTGCCTTTTCAAGTTCCATGGTGGTAGATATTTTCACTAGGGGCAAGCATTCTGCTTAGAATTTAAAAGATCCTGAAAGTGATCTGGTCCAACATCGAATCATTCAGATAGGAAGATTTTGAGATCCAGAGTAATGTGAAGACACGACATTCACAAAATTAACTTAGTGGCAGCAGCAGGTTTAAGAATGTGGAAGCCTGATTCTCAGTACAGGTGGTCTTACTTAAAATCATCATTCTGGGTGAGAAAGAAAACCAGGGAACCTCAGGAAGGGCATTCAGAGAGAGGCTCTTTTCAGACGGGCTCTGGGCAGAGAGTAGGAGACCTAACGCGCTGGTTTGGAGGGGAAGCTGGATTCTGAGGTCCTGTGTGGGGACTGGGAAAAATGCACAGGTCTTTTCCTTCTTGATAATTCTTTGCTTTTGCGTGGCCCAGTTAGGTAAGAACCACTCTTCTCCCATCTCACGGAATAAATCTCCCCAGGCAGCTTTGTGTGCTGTGAAATCTGCATACTCGGTGGGTCTCAGGGACCAAGGCTCCACACGACAGCGGCCTCAGGACGGGCAGCTGCCCACTGCCCTCATCCTTCTTGAGGAACCCACTCCAGGGTTCACAAGTGTCCCGTTCTTTGCACTCTGTGTGTCTTTTCCATACTGGGTCCCATTACTTACTGAGCAGCAGAGAACATACACTCAGTGGTTGGAATAAAACTGGGAATCGAGTCGGAAAGCCCGGGAGTGCTCAGTGCAGTGGTGGGGGCGGGGGGCCTTGCAGGGGGAGGAAAAAAGATAGCTTTCCCTCATTTCCTGAACGGAGGGGCCAGTCTGCCTCTGCTGGTCACGAATCAGTGTAAATTTGTTGCAATAGCCAGCCATTGGAATTAACTCTTGGTTGCTACACACTTATGTCCTAAATAGAAAATACCTCTAAGTGTGAACGTTTAAACGGCATCACGGGCCACTCAAACTTCATTTGTTCTACAAACTGAGCACTTGATGGTTCTTTGGAACGTGTCTTTTTTTCCAAAGTAGAATCAACAAGAGGGAAGATGGTATTAGGTCCTGGAAGAGTCATACTGCAGAACTGGAACTTAATTTCTGTTTCTCCTGGGTTCCCAGGATCGATGAAATAATCAATTCTGATTTCACGATGGCAGTCGTTGGAGCCTGGGCCTCAGTGCTTCTGGGGATTTTAATAGAGCGGTCACTTGGAGACAGCATGGAGCACCGGAGCGATTCTGGAACTCTGCCAAGAATCGTACAGACCCCAAAATTACTCCCACTGACAGAAGCTCCCTGCTGCAGCAACCTCAGGAGAAATGTACTGCCTGCCAGTGGTTTCGGAAGTAAGATTGAATAAGGGGAATGAAACGCGGCCAGCCCTGGAGTAAGGGCCCAGATGCCCAAGTGCGCCGGAAGGCCATGACCCCACTGCTTTCTGTCTTCCTCCGGTTAATGTGACGAGGCAACCCCCTTCCCAGAGGAAAGTGAGACAGAGAAGAAAGACAGGGGCTGTGAGACAGCCAGGGAAGACTTCGACTAACAGGATGCAGACTGAGTGTGGGACAGTGAGGCCTCCGACCCTGGGGAGTGGGGGCTTGGAACTGCGTCCTCCGGAGAGCGCGTACTTCAGTTCCAAGGTCGTGGCCACGTCGGGGGCCTCTTGTGTCCTAAAACACAGGAAGCTGTGCGGCCGAGGCTTTTCCTTGGGCAGGCGCACACAGGGCGCCCCACCGTCTCACCAGGGATGGTCACCCTGGGGCGCGGCCCCACACCGCCCTCAGCTCCAGGACAGCACCTGCTGTCCCCTTGCACCCGGAATCACGGGCGTGACTCCCCGTGGTCACAGAGGGTCAGAGCAGGTGAGTGGCCTTCCCGCACTGAGAAAACAGCCCCACTGGCCCTGAACTGCAGTCACTGCCACTCCGAGGCCAGGGCCGATTTTCTTCGCAAACACATGCTTGTGTCCTGGAAAACAACATAAATTGTTGTTCTGTTGCCATTTGTTTCTCACTAGGGAAGACGCTGCCTAGATGAGTAACTGCCTAAGAGGTGAACCCGGTGCTTCAGGAGAGCTGGAATTTCAGCAGGGACTCGGAGGCTGCTCCAGCCTGCAGCACTGACCCTGCTAGAGCCGCAGACGCTGGCGGGGACGAAAAGCAGAACAGAGCTTTGTGTCTCTGCCTTCATTAGGAGCTGGGTCGTTCCTCGCCTGGAGCTGTGGGACAGACTCCTGCTCAGGCCCACACATAGACCTGTTTGGTCCTTCGGGAAGTGGTCTTCCTGCCTGTGAGGCAGAAGACATCAACGGGAAAGTAACCAGTTTCAAGGCCTGCGGGCTCGTCATAATGGACCGTGAACAGCCAGCGCTCACACTGTCCTGCTCTGCGTCCTCGGCACAGCTCCCAACCCGCTGGGAGCCAACACGGCCAGCAGGCAGATCGCCCTGATGAGGCCGTTTCCCCTGAGCAGCAGCAATGACGCCGCAGAGGAGCTGAGGCTGCCACGGCAAGAGCGACCCCCTCAGCACAAGCACCACAGCGTCCCCTCCAGGGCTAAGCGCTTAACTCTCCAGAGCCACCTTACAGCGCGAGCCCCGAGACAGTGGTCAGCCACAGCTCTGCCGTAGCACGCTCACCTCCTGCCCTGGCCCCAGCTGCTGTCACCCCCAAAGATGGGAGTGAAGACCCCCAATCCTGTCTCCCCATCCAGACATTTTTAACAAACCCCTTCCCTATCTTTCATCATTTCTTTTTCCTTTGGGGCTGGGGCTCCCCAATCACCAGAGTCCTGGTGATCGAATGATTGGTTGGGACCTCTTCTGGCTGTCCCAAGAGCACCCCAGCTCCCTGTCCCGCAGGGAAGGCACTGTGCACCCTACTCCACGCTGCACGCCTGCATGGCTCCCACCCCAACTCCCTGCACCCTGTCCCCACCACCATGGCCCCCACAGTCCCACAGACCCCACCTCCTCAACAGAGACGTCACCACGCTGTCGCTTCAGAGTTGGAACCACAGACCATGTAAGCCAAAATCAAGGACTTAAGAGGAGTCAAACTCAAAAGCTTATGTAAATGTGCTTATATTCACAAATATAAAACAGTGAAATATCACATCATCAAAGCCATTTACATTTTAAATTAGCAATGTTCTTTACAGGGAGATCTGTTTTCCTTGTTTTCTGGAAAATAATTCTCTTTCACCTCTCCTTCTCCTTCTGGTACCGAGGATTGAACTCAGGACCTTACACTTGCCAGGCAGCTGTGGTGCCACTGAGCTATAACCCAGGATTCTGGGAAATTCTTAAACTCTCCATTCTCCCCGGGGGCCATGAGCTACTTGTAGTCCCATTCTGTTTCTGTTTGAATTTTTATCAGTCCATGTCTGCTGTACCTAATGGTCATTCACCAGGGGGCTGGTACACACGCATCACACACTAATTCCTTTCACCTGCCCTCCCTGCCCTCCCTCCATCCCTTGATTCCCTTCCCATCTTCAAAACATCTCTCTCCCTACTTCTTATCATCTATCTTTATTTTGCTCTTTATTTATATTTTTCATTTCTCACACAAGAGCAACCATGAAATAGGTAAGCTTGTGTTAGATTTATTTCACTTAATTTGAAGGTCTCAAGGTGCCTCCATCTCCCACACACAGCTCATTTATCTTTCTTTAGAGGAGAAAACTGCAGACCGCTTCAGGAATTTCCCACCCTCAGAGTCGTGCATTCAGAGCCTGGCATTCCAGCTAATGGCTGAGGGCTTCCTGGTCGCCAGCATCTCTGTAGCACCACAGCCAGGCGACCAGGAGAGGCGTGGAAACGTGCCGGACCTGGAAGAGGTCCTTGAAATGGCAGCACCAGGCATGGACACACGGGCCTCCCTGGTGTGAGCACAGCAGCCCCTCCGCATCCATACTCCCAGGGGCCTGGTGTGGGTCTCACCCACTTGACAGGCAGAGAAACCAAGCTCAGAGAAGAGACAGCTTCACATGCAAACTTCTGCCCCCGTGCCCACCCACTCCTCTGGGCACACGGCTCACACTGCAGGGAGCTTTGCGACTCCCAGGCGAGGTTCCAGCGCCTCCACAGCCACATCTTCCCGACAGCACCTCCTCAAGTGGGTGCTGCTTCACCCTCCCTAGGGGCAGAGCCAGGAGGAGCAAGGCTGCACACACCAGGCAGCCCGCTCGGTGGTGACCGGCCCAGCGATGCTGGCTCCGGAGCCCCTTGTAGTCAGCTAGAGGCTAGGACTGAAGCAAAAGCCGAATCTCTCATCCCCCTGGACTCTGACAAGGTCTGGCTGGAGGCCGGCATGGCCCTCAGCTCTGTCCCCACTCTGCTTCTGCAGATAAGGTCACCAGCCAAGCACCTTCCCGCAAGGGGCTCAGTCACAGCCCTTCCTGCCTTGGGTCCTGGGCCTCAGATCCCTGCAGCCTGGAATTACTCAGATAAACACAGGGCGCCTTGTTACTACGAACCTGCCCTCCACAGCTACTGCCTCTCTCCGTGCCAGGCACGATGTCCTCCCCGGCTGAGTCTGCACAGTAGATACAGGGTATCCATCGCGGCTGTCTTGTGGCGAGTGCTGTGTTCATCCTCCACATCCTGGGATGGGGTCCCTCCCTCACCTAGGGGCGAATAGAAGACAAGGTGATCGAGACCCTGGGAAAGTGTGGGCAGTAAGAGCTGAAGAAAGATCAAAGATTCTAATTTCAAGAAAACACGAAGCACGATAGAAATTATGGTTGTTTAAATTTTTTCAAAGTTTATTATACTAAAAGACACATTCCCATTGAGCTCCCTCAAAATACTCCTCCTTTCTCCAGACCTACTTATCCCATTGTCCTCCGCACTTCCTGCAGCAGCTCTGGAGTCCTCTTTCATGAGAGTCTTCAGTGGCGCTGTCCTGATCACCTCCATGTCCTGAATGGATTCAAAACGTTTTCCTTTTGTGGTCACTTTGGCTTTGGGGAAGAGCCGGAAGTCACCTGGTGCCAGGTGCAGTGAATAAGGTGAATGAGGACCCAGCATCATGCTTTCTTTTTTTAAAATCTTTATTAGATTTATGGGTATATTTTAGGTATACAATGCAGTTACATTCATCATGGGGTCCTGAACCTTTACAAGACTTATCTTGGTTCTTATTATTTCCCATTCCCCAGCCCTCCCCTCACCCCTCCACCCTTTCCTGTTTACAAAGACAATGTTTCCATGGTTTTCCTTTTTACATATTTTTCCTTTTCCCTTTTTGTCTTTCCTCTACCCCTCCCACTTCCTCTACTCTTTTAGACCTTTTCTTCCTATTATACAATATCAATTATGCATTTTGATCCTTATTTACAACTTTGTTTTTCACACCAGAGAAACTATTCAGCATTTACATATGTGTGACATGAATTTCACCTAAGAGTGTGGCCTCAATGTGCATCCACTTAGCAATAAATACCTCTAGTTTATCCTTCTTTATGGCTGAGTAGTACTCCATTTTATTTTTAAAAACACACACATCTCTATCCAGTTACCAGTTTAAGGGCAATTGAGCTGTTTCCAAATTTTAGCTGTTACAAACTGTGTTGCTATAAACATGGGTGAGCATATATCTCTGTGGTATGATTCTTTTCATTCTTTTGGGAAGATACCCAGCAGGGGAATAGCTGGGTCAAATGGGACTTCCAACCCTAGTTGCCTGAGGTATCTCCATATTGATCGCCACAGTTGTTGCACCAGTCCGCACTCCCACCAACAATGGAGAGGGAAGATAGGAGCCCTTCTTCACAGCGTGGTCTTTTTACGAACTGCCTTTCTGCTGGATGGCCCTTGACAGTAGCATTCACCATGTTCTTGATCACAACTGATCAAGACACTCAGGAAAGAGGGCTCCGGAGCTGCTGTCGGAAGCGGCCAGGAGGATGCAATGGGTGTGTAGGCAGTGAGGGGAGGGCGTCGCAGAAGATTTTGTGGCAGTGAGTCTTTTACTATGATACAGCTTTCATCTGAACACGCACCATATATTTGATCACACTGCCCATGAACTGGGCATTTCCTCGCAGATCCTGTGTTTCCTGAACGCCTGCTTCATATTACAACCTGGGATGAGGACTGGGCTCCAACAGAGAGCCCGATAGGCGGGCCTCGTCCTGCAGGGCCTTCATCCCTTGGAGAGAGGCGCTCAGCAAGAAATCTCGCACATGCATACCTTGGCCCCAGATCTGCCGGATCTTCAGGGTCCTCCCTCGAACCAGACACCCTGTTATGGAGACAGAACCTCAGCCATGCCTTCCGCCGCTGCACTGTCTTTCCCCGGGAGGCAGCACGGACGACAAAAAGATCTCCCTCTTGGTCTGCTTGGATCCAGAGCCTGCATTAGTCCTCTGGGGAGCGCGCCTGGACCCGCGCGTGCCCACGTCCCGCGCAATGAGTGGCGACCCGCCTGGCTCTCCCTCCTCCTCTCCCGGGGAAGCCCCGGCGCCATCGCTCAGAGTAATTCGACTTGGTGTCCATTTCTGTAACCCGCGTCTTAAGTGAGAGCGAGCGGAGCAACTGCTGTGGTCCGCAGGGTCCCCGAATACACCCCAGGGCCGCCGCTGGGTCTCCCAGCGCCCACAACAGGGGAGCTTCCGTCCTTTGTGATCTCCCTAGCCTGGGCGCTCTGGAGCTCAGGGCCCAGCTTCTCTGAGTGAACACTGAGGATTTCAGATCTGCTGTCGGAGCTGCGCCCCTGTCACAGGGACACCAGAGGCCCACAACTCTCAGAGGAGAAGAGCTTTGTTTGGGCTCAGTTTGCAGTGCATGGCTAGCTGGCTCCAAGGCAAGGGAGGGGCCTGAAGACCGAGAGCTGCTCTCTCCCCGCAGCTGGAAAGCAGAGGGTGAAGCGAGGAGGAGCCAGAGAGGGAGAGGAACCCTCCCGGGCCCCGCCCCGGGACCGCCTCTTCAGACAGCCCCACCTCCTAGCCCAGTCCACTGTGAGCTCCACAGTCTAGGCGCCTTCCCAAAGCCCTGCCTATGAGTCCGTAAAGCTTTGGGGGTTCCTTAGATGGAACCTACAACACCCGTATAAAGGGCCACCTTCTAGCCACCAGGCAGGCCATTTCAAAGTATATTCATGTGTCAGATTTGTACTGCTGTAACCAAATGCCTAAGAAGATCAACTTAAAGGAAGGAAAGATTTATTTTGGCTCCTGATTCTGGAGTTTTGGTCCATGGTTGTTAGACTCAATGCTCTGGGCTGATGGCAAGGCAAAGCATCATGGTGGGGAGTGTGTGGTGGAGGACACACGTTCCCCTTATGGCAGCTAGGAAGCCAAGAGAGACCGGAAGGGTAGGGTCAATACCCCCCTAGGCCACGCCCCCATGACCTCACTTCCTCCCACTAGGCCCCACTGCCTAAAGGTTCCAGTTGCCCTGCACACCGGTAAGGGAGGCTCAGCACATGGCTTCTGAGATCTAAACCATAACACCGGGAAAGAAAACAAAGATGGACGCACCCCAGAGGTGCTCCTGCTGGTACAGGGCCTGAACTTTCCTACAACTACCTCTTGGAAGTTAGGGGCAACAAGGCAGTGGTTCTTCCCTGTTGTTGAAAGTGCCCCCAGGGACAGGCTGAATGGTGGCCACTCAAAAGACATGTCCACCAGGAGCCTGTGAGTGCGACCGTATTGGAAAAAGGTCCTCGTGGATGTGATTAAGATAAAGAACGTGAGACAGCATCATCTTGGATTGTACAGATAAGTCCTAAGTCCAAAGATCCCGTCTTTGAGAAAGGCGGTGGGGGATCTGAAGGGAAAAGAGGGTGTCAGGTAAAAATGGAGTCAGAAGAACCAAGGAATGCTGAAACTTGCCAGACACAGCAGAAGTGTGAGGTGGCAGGGTCAGATCTTCCTCGAGGGCCTCTGGGAGAAGCTCGGGCCTGTCCACATCCTGGACTTGGACTTGTGGCCCTGGATCTGTGAGGGTATAAATGCCTGCTGTTTAAGCTACCCAGCTTATGCCAGCCCCCGGACACTGCACATGGGTGAGAAGACACCCATGACCACCACATCTCCCTACAGAGTCAACTCTATAGGAAGCCATAGCAAGACCAAGATCCTCATAAATCTGGGGCATCTTCAGAGCCCAATGCAGTACAAACTAGCAGAAAAGCTCACTGGGTATTAACTTTCCAGACAGGACAGCTAGCAAGACAACAAAAACCTACGGGTACGAGACCCCGGTTAGGAGTCACTCCGAGTACAAGTGGGGGTCGAGGGGCCGGGAAGGGGTGCAGGAGGCACCCATAAAGGTCACCTATGGACATTTTTGTGTCACTCACACTTAATAAAGCAAACTGTTTTCAACCCAAAGCAGTGCCTTTAAATTTCCCCAAGAGCCGACTGGGCCTCCAGGATTGCTGTATGGATTTTATGACTCAGGCACGCTATGAATCTTTAATGTGTGACTGGTGTAGCGGAGCGGATGTGGCTCCCGGGAGACCTGGGAGCTCTGTTTGCTTCCTAATTAGATGCTCCTGACTGCGGCAAGACCCCTTACTCACACCGCACCTCCTCTATGAGAAACGACCCCACAAACCCTGTCCAACGGGCACCTCTGTTTACCCACAGGCCATCAGCGAAAGTTGGCAGAAATAATGTAAAGAAGCAGCTGTGTGCTTCTGGCAAAAAGCAAGAAGATGAAATAAAATAAATCAGCTTTTCATGGCTCTAAGCTTTCTTGTGCCAGAAATATGCCTGGCTGCTGTGTCCCCCTCCAGTATGAAGTTGACTGAGCATGCTTGCAAGTGGAGTCTGGGCCTATGGGAGGCCCCGGGTCAGAAGGGCTCTGGGGACATTACTGCTGGCTACCTGCTGGGGCAGAGGTGCAGGGCTGAGGCAAAGGTGATCCTCTCCCGAAGGGGGCGGCTCAGCATCTGGGGTGCATTAAAGAGGATGGGCCCACCTGGCAGCGTCTATGGACAGTGACTGCTCCAGAGCCCACGGCTTTGGCCAGACCCAGGGTTGCCGGACAAAGCTCCAGCCTCTGTCCTCCGAGCCTGGGAGATCCCAGACAAGCCAGGACGTGCGGGAAAGCAAGGGGCACCCACCAGTGAACTGGACATGCTAGAAAGCCCACAGAGTCAAACATGCCGTCAGGTAAACCTACACCAAGAAAAAAATAAATCTGAATATTTGTGTAGAGACTGAATGGAAGGGGTGATCAAAACACTCTGTAAATGTTTAAAAATTTATCACAGTAAAAGACAGATTGCTAGGAATTCATCTTAAAATACCACGAATCTCCCTCAAAATACCCCTCTTTTCTTGGAACACACCCCATGGATCTTGCCACCTTCTGAAGCAGTTCTGGAAGTTCTCCTCCTAGAGCATTTTTATGGGGGGCATGATCAAAAATATGGTGAGCTCTGCTGCCGTTCGTCATCCAATGGAAAGGCAGCTCGTAAAGACAAGATGCTGGGTCCTTGTCCACCTTGCTCACCAGATCTGGCTCTGTGAAACTTCCGGCTCCTCCCCAAAGTCAAAGTGATCATAAAAGAGGAACATTTTTCCATCAATTCAGGGCATTGAAGCAGCCAGGACAGCACAACTAAAAACACTTTCAAAAGAGGACTCCAGAGCTGCTGCAGGAAGTGGTAAGG